TTAGGTTTTTTTTTTAAATCGATTTTTTATCTTTAAAGGTCCTTAATTTTGATCATCTGAAATTTCTATCATTTTTTACAACTGCCATTTTAAATGTCAATTACCGTATTTGACGGCATATAAGATGCACCCTTATTTAGAAGGCCACACCCCAAGGAAAAAATGTTTAAAATAATCCACAATAACTTAAATTGTGGTTTCTTTTAGTTCTTACGTTTCGTAAAAGCCAAATAAACAATCATTGAATGCAATTACCAAACATATTTTTATTAAGGAAAATTAACAAACGGCAAGCTATTTTGAACATGATATGTAAATTTCAATAATGAATAAATGAATGAACGGCAAGCAATCAAACATAATACAAAATAAAGCAGAAACAACAAAAAAACACAGATTCAAGGAAAAGGTTGCCTGTCATGAAATTAGGCTTTATTCACTTTCAAAACCATAAATATCCTTTTCACTATCATCATCATCATCGAAAACAAGAATATCATCATCACTACTGTTTCCGTCATTGCTAGTGTCACCTTCTTCCATTAATGCGTCGTCTTCTGTTCCGTCAAGAGCATTACTGATTAGGTGGTGGACCGAAATGCCTTGCTGCTGCTCTCTTTCCATGCACTTTGGCATAGTTTAACACTCCTAGTTTATATTGAATTATATAGCTTAATCTCTTGTTTCCTGTAGTCATATTTTCCAGGGTATTTTTTAAACAAATAGTTTTAATCATCGATACCAACACGTTTATACAGGGTAACACCAATACCGACACGTGTGTCGGCTGAGTCAAAGAAAGTCTATGTAAAGAAGGAAAGGCTGCATAGACGTAATGTGACCGTCGAACCTGTTCGAACTTCGACATCAGCTTCGAGCTTTGACGCTTTTAGGCGATAGATATTTCACGCATGCGCAAAATAATTATGGCAGGTGTAGAAAAAGTTATGTGTGTGTAGACCTTTATCCGAGTTAAAAATAGCATTCAGTTTTGATAGTTAACCTGTGTCCTTCATGTATAAGACGCAGGTAACTTTTTTGAGACCAAATTTAGGGAAAAAAGTGCGTCTTATATGCCGTCAAATATGGTATTTAAATATTCTTTTTCAATGGGTTGTAGAGTGGGTTCTTGATAATCATAGATATTGTATTAGATATATGTAAAAATTTCACATCCACTATATTTCTGATAACATCCACTATGACATTTTGGACAAATATTTTTGGTAATTCATTGGCAAATATTGTTATCTTTTGAATGGGTGAATTGGTTCATAGATTATAATTTGTTCCTGTTTCTAATATAAACAATAGGATACTCAAGTCTCTGAGCAAGAAGTGAAACATAAACATTTCGAAATTATTTCATTTTTTCTAATGACAACAACTCTTAAACAACCTTTTGCTTTTGGGAATGTAAATTCTTTGTTAAATGGTTCCAAATTTGGCAACTTGTCAACATTTTGGTGATTTTAATATCAGTTTCTGTAGAAAATTTTTAATGAAACATTTTTATCTTTCAATATCATATTATAAAGTGACATTACTTTTTATTTTGGTGACTTATACAATATTTTGATTCTGGAAAATAAACAAGATAAAAAATGCTTAAATTGCCCTTTAGCACAATTTACAAAGCAATTCTTAGCAAAAGCAAAATAGCTATCGATATGTAATTAATTAAAATGCCTTTGTTTTAATTTTTTTCATAGTAAGAGTTTTTCCCTTGTTATTGTCTGAATATACGTCAGTTTTCTCTATAAAATTAATTTTACCTTTTTTTCCTGATTTTTTTTTTTTTTCTTCCAACATATTTCTCACTTTTTGCTGTTACAGAATTGGTAGGGGTAATTTCTCTTTAGTATTTTAGACATTGCAGCTTGGAAAGTTTAGAATTATTTGAAGGCAAGATTTATAGACCCATGAGTCCAGAAGATTCCAGAAAAATGTCTTCATGATATTAACACATAATGGATGATTTTTATGAGAAGTTCATGATGAACTTTTACTTTTTAGAGAATTTTCAGAAGAACACAAAACATAATATTTCAATGTTTTACTTCTGATACTAGAAATCTTTTTCTTAACATGCTTATCTTCCATGCACTTGTTTTCTCCACTTTTCACTAGACACAAGCATGGAAAATATCAAATACTTCTAATCTTATCACAGGAACAAGCATTTATAGAAAGGAATTTTTCTATTAATAAAGAAATTGAAAGCTGACAGTTTAAAAGATTCATCTTTTATGTCTCAATGTATCATACACAGGGCTGGCGCTACACATTTTCCCACCTGATGGAATCTCTATGGATCCTAAATTCTGCTGCCTAGTGCCTTCCTAAATTCTAAAATTTTCCCATTTTCCCATTTTTAGATTTTGTTGCTCGGTTTATCACTAAATTCTAAAAATTCTGCTACACTGGCTCTATAACCGGCCCTTACCATGTATCATTTCATATTTATTCTGAATGTTCTTATTATTAAATAAATTAGGTTAGCACCTTTTCCTGTACATTCTAAATGCATTTAGTTTTTAAAATAAAAAATTTCTAATTAAATTCTAAAATGGAAAGGAAATGTATTGAAGAAAGAAACCAAATGCATAAAGAGAAAGAGAATTAATCTTCAAAGATATGCAGAGTTATTATTATGTAAATTAAGCTGTTGTTTATAATTTTCCGTTTCCGTTTCCTCACCAAAATGAAAATCACTTAGACAGTTTTTAAACTAAGGTTTTGAGGTTGTAAGACAGAATTTGTTTATGGCCCCTGCTTGCATCCAGCATTAGTTCTTACCAGCTCTGATAAATTGTAATTTTTCGTCTTGCGTTATCACTGCCGATATCTGAATTTGTTACGCAGTAACTATGTTACAACAAGTTATGATGTGTTACTTAGCCAGCTTAATTTTATAAAAATTAAATTGAGTAGTCATTGACTACTGGTCCATATTTTTAGTTTGATTTTGACTGTTCCTGTTTAATTGGATCGTCATAAGCTGTAGTTGGTTTTGCTAGCATATGAACATGCCTTTATATTATAACGTTTTTTTAAATAAGATATTTAATTAAACCTTTACCTGACTTTGTAGTTACTTTCAAATATAGTGATAATTTGCTTCACATCTGTCAGGTGTTTTGGACCATTTAACTTTTATCAGATAAAGTAAAACCTCATAGGTACATAGTCGGGAGATTGACAAATTAGGAGATAAAACATGCAGAAACTAGTGGGAATATTGGTTTGCATAATGAAACAAATTTCTAATTTGTTAGAAAAGATGCTTAAAAGAGACTGAAATTGATATAAATTAGCCAGAATGTCTGGAAAGGCTTCATATTAAAAAAATGCATAAATATTTTGTTGAGTATAGTTGCTACAAAATGTAAATGTTTTTGTAGCTTTTAATGTGTAGTTATCTTAATATCGTTTAAGAATCAATGTCATAAATTACATGTATTTTCAACTGTGGCATACTAATAAATTGTGATTTTAATAGTGTTTTTTTAACAAATATTTTTTTAAATAAATTTAATAGTGGCAATGTAAATATATAATGACTAAGGTTATCTAACTAGCTAATTTAATTATTTGTACCTAACTGGTCACCCTCAAAAGTTATCTCTGCATATTAAAGTGAGCTATTGCCTTTCATTTATCTTTACCGTGGTCACAAGACACAGCACAAAAATGTAAAGATTAATAAACTTAATTCTTTTCATCTAGTGAGACTAAAAATAATACAAAGCATGTTATCACCTCTGGTGCTTTAGTGGCATACTGGAACCTTAAAATATATTAACTGCATTAATTAGAACTCCAGGAACTCTACGTGAAGTTATGACATTAGCTGTGTCAGACAGGCAGAGCGCAACTAACTTTCAAAACTTGCCAAATGTGCCTGCATAAGGCTTTCAGGTTTGTTTTGATCAGCAGGCCTCTCTCTAGGCAAGCAGCAAGAGTGGTAGCAGCCAGTATTCTGTAACAAATCATGATTATGATTTTACTCCTCGTTTTAACTTATGCTGTTTGACATAAAATCTACTTGCTATTTACCGAACCTGTAAACTGAACAAGTACCTGACAAAATGAGACATAAAATAAAAAATCAACATAAAGCTAACTGTTAGTAAAATGTCACTAATCTTCTTTCAAATATGTCTAACTATTGAGGGTAAAATATTTAATGCTATAGTTCAACCGTCTCAAACGTAACCGTGGCTGGCATTCTGCCAAAATGCATACACTCATCCAAAAGGGGCGTTATTACTTGCTGCGACGTGAAAGGTCACGTGAATACTCCAGAAAAAGAGAATTTATATGCTCAAGGGAAAGAAAGTCCCCATCCTTCCATCCTATTTTCAAAATAACTCGGTCCGAATGGCACATGCTTGTTCACGCTCATGGTCGCGGATAAGCCGGTCGAACTATACCTGATAAATTTTATAAAACTGATTTTATTCTCAAATTTGTTTTATAATTATGTTTATTAAATTGTCTAATAATGTTTTCTACTTGTGGATCTATTTTATTCTTAGGATGGTATCACAAAAGTTAAGTTCATTCATAGCTAATATCTTTAATTGAATTTATTCAGTTCCCATTTGTTGATGGGTTCTTAATTTTTTTTCATTAATGGTCCTTAAAAGTACTTAATTTTCGTATGCAAAAATGTGTACTAACCCTGATAATTGGCATCTTATGCCAAGAAATTGGTGAATTCTTTCATGCTCTATTTCTAAATATAGAGGGAAATGCACTCATAGCAAAAATTGTCGATCAGTGATTTATTCAGACTGTTGGCTGGTGTTTAAAACTGAAAAATTAGAAAAAGAGTTAAAGACATTTTACTGTAAACCATAAATTTTATTGTAATGATCCAAGAATAGCTGCTCATACATAAAATATTGAAAGACTACGGCACTTCATAGGTGGAGAAATAAAAATTAAGGAGGCACAGTTAGCCAAACTCTTACTATATGGAATTTATGTAGCAAATGTCCTTGGAACGAGAAAATGTTTTTGATGTCATATTAAAAGCAGTTGTGGAAACATGGGGCTCACAAAGTATATGTGAGAAGTAAATATGCCAATAATTTTGGTGCCAACCTGGCATTTAAAAAAGGGGAGCCATAATAATAAGGAAGTTCATAAAATTCCTTCATTTTTGTCACAATAAGTGTGTTTTCAAAAAAATAATTCAAATTGCTGGATTTTTTCCTTAAATACCTAAGTAGGTTGTAGTTCCAGTTAGTCAGCTTATTTATAATTCTGTTTTAATCTCGAGATATAATATCTTATTTTATTTGATATCTTTGCCGCATTTCAGGTATCTGATGCATACTCTTGATCAGTTTGTAGAAGCTGACTATACTCTTGTATATTTTCATTATGGATTAAATAGCAGAAACAAGTTACCTCTAAGTTGGCTTTGGGAAGCATATAGAGCTTTTGGGAGAAAGTGAGTTATAATTATTAATTTTGAATGAAATAATAAATGCCACAAATTCTCTTTTTATATGATTTTAGTTTAACATAGTTGAAGATGTTACAAGCATTCTTTATATGGTTTATTTTCATCTAACATTGTTCAAGTAATTCCTTTTTACTTCCTTGTATGGAATAAAGGAAGTAATGTAATCGCAAAAAATTTTGGGGTATCTTAATTCAATGAAAATATTCATTTTAACTGCTCTGGAATCCATTTAATTTTTTTTTTTTTTTTTTTTTTCCACATCATCTGTACATATGCACAAAAAAGTTTTTTTTTTTTCCTTCCCCAAAAAAGATTGTAAAATGGATTTGAAATACATTCAGAAGATATTTTGTGTGTGTGTGTAATTGGCCATACCAAACCTATATATATATATATATGTAACAAAAATAAAGACTATGTAAAAGATTAAATTAGCAAAGTAAATTTCCCTTCTCAGTTCTAAAAATAGTAACCTTTCCCTGCACTGCGTCATTTCTATATTAATCCATGTCACATGACTCTTACATAATTCTGATGATGTAAATGGAACTAAAACAGCCAATAGTCATTTTACATCAGTATTAACTATCCAATCAAAATATATTGAGAACCAAAACTAACTCAGTCTGAATTAAGATTTCACCCTGAACATAATGCACTTGCCTGGACTGCAGTCTATCTTTCTTACTGCAAACTTATATAAAATATAAATTTTTTGCCTATCATTTGCGAGGTTGAGACCTTGCCAACCAAAGATGTGCATTTGAGTGTTTGCCATCAAAGTCTGAGCTCGAATTAACACTTGAACGCAAAGTTTTCAGTTTTATCCGTTTTGTGCACTCTCTGTGAGTTTGTCACTAAACTGATTGTGCAACATTTGGTCTCGTTCATTCACTTGTCCAACACTGTTGTAAGTTCAGATTTTAATTCTAATATTCCTCTTTTCTGCCTCTCAGAGTGGAATGCGACCCTATGTTCCATATGACTCTTGTTTTCCCATAGAAACTCTAATTTTAATTGTAAAAATTGTTTTTTTTTTTAAACTGTATTTGGTGTTTTAGGTTTTTTCTGTATTTTACAATTTTTAATGAAGATGCTTTGCATTTTTATGTATTTCTGCCTTGCCGCAAAATGAGAACTGAATTGATTGAATGAGCAATAATTCATCTGTAATAAAATTCAAGGAATTAAGTTTAAATGAAGTGCAGCAAAAGATGTGTGTAATTTAATAGGCCAGTACTAGTTAGTCATCTGGTGTGCAGATCAAATTTTTTTAATTTGAAGGATTTACAATAAACTACAGCTCCATAAGCTAACTCAGAGGCATCACAAAATCTGTGCAACTCAATAAAAGTTGCTTCTGTGACAAGAATGCATCTGTGAATTTCTGAATTACATATCTATGGCAGTTCAGCGAACAACAGTTGCCATTCCTTGACTTCTTTTTTAGGTAGAAGATCGTACCATGAGAGCTTCAACAACCATAGTATCTGAAGAGATATTTTAGCTTTAGCTTCACTTTACCCAACAAACCAAATGGTTCAAAGATTTTCGCTGTTGTTAACAAAACTAGACTTTTAGTAATTTCATGCTCATTTTCTAGTTTCACTTTAAAATTAAAACAATCTTTATCTGCTTTCCGGAAAACACCAAGAGCTGAAACTTCATTTGCACATTTACATGTATATTCATCGTCAACATTAACTGCAAGCTCCAGATTGTTGGTACACCACTGTACAGAGTCATATAGTTGCAATTCTTAAAATCTCAATCAATTCATGCTATAACTCCTTTGCCGAACTCAATTAACTGCATCCTGTTAGCACATCATTCATGCAAGCATCACTCTAGGACTGCAGCTGCTAATGGAAAATTTCTAAACTCATCTGTGGCAAGTTGACGTAATATTCTCATGGCTAAGAAAGGTCCTTTTAATGTGCCTTTCTTTAGGTGATTGTGTTAAACAAAAACAAAAAAAAAAAAAAGGGTCAAAAGTTTTAACTGCCAAAGCAGATCACTGCATGCATGAGGAGAGGAACAGAATTAAAAAATTATGGAAAGATTTCATGAAAAATGTGTTTTATTCATTTTTATTAGTCCAAAGGGTCTTTGTCACTGAAGGATTATTATTTTCATTTTGCGATTTTGCATTGGTTCACTACAAAATGTCTGTTTCACATTTCAAACCGTTACCGCCAAATGTTAGAGTTCTGCATTATATTTGAAGAAATTAAATAATGAAAAATTAGCATAAATGTATGTATATTTCTCGCATTGTGATTGAACAACGGTACATAGAGCCATCAAATTTTGAATGACATAACCCTACTGTGAATATGGGCATGTGGAAGCCTAAATTTGAAATTTGGAATTTCTTTTATTATAGATTTCGTATTTTGTAAAACTTTAACGAATTTTTTATTAACAAACTAGAGAATTTCAAAGCGCAATGGCATCATTGTACAGAAAAAAATTTTTGTCTCCAGCGCTTGAGACTCTGTATCAGAAATTCTAAAGATACGCTCAATTTAAAACTATTTTGCGATATTGCTCTTAAACTGAATTTTATGGTTTAAGTGTGAAGAATGTGATATTTAATAAATAAAGGTAACAGACATAATGTTAAAAAAAAAAAAAAAAAACTTTGGACGTAATTTAAAATCTGAAACCTTTCAGATTTATTTTTTTATTTATTGTATATATTGATAATGTTTCTTACACCTATAAATATCTAAATGTGGATAGTTTCAGAATTTTTTTAAAAAAAAATGTCCCAAAATAATTTGGCTGTGTCAATACATATTCCCTTTTATATATTATTGTACAAGGAATGTAAAGTGTACCCATTAAATATTTTACCCTAATGTTTAAAAACTTAATGACTCAGTAAGCAATGCATTGCATGTCCAAATGTTCTACTAAAATTGCTTTACAGGATCCATATAATACAGGAACTATCTCAATAACATATCTTATTGTTAAACATGATTAGTAATGACCAACATTCTAAGTTGATTGATTCATTTATTGAAGTGATTATATTATCTTATCTTATACCACTCAAAAATGCTTATCTTTGGTAAAATGTTTCCTTCAGAAATTGTTTGGTAACATTTCAAATGTTTTATAGCAAAAATTACTTTGAAAAAGCAAGATTTTATAGCAGAAATAACTTTGCAAAAGCAATTACATTTGCCATTTTGGGAAACTGTCAAGATTCTTAAAGCATTAAAACAAAAATTATTTGCAAACAATAAAATGAAGTATGGCTTGTTGCTATATGTTGATAAAAGTGGTAAGAAAGTTTAAAAATGCTTTTTGAGCAGCACATTTTGGCATTAATATTTTCCACTGTATCATTCCGATACTTTTTTATCACAATCGTAAAGAATTTTTATAAATAAATCGTGTTTAATTACAGTTGTATGTTCTGAAACTTTGTAGCTTTTAAATTTTGTGTAGTAATATGGAAAATGTTTTATTTAAGGTACAAGAAAAATTTAAAAGCATTGTATCTAGTCCATCCCACAAATTTTATTCGGTTTGTGTGGAGGTTGTTTAAACCTGTAATAAGGTAAGCTTGTTAAAATTATTTCTAAAAAATAAATGTTTTTTTTTTTTTTTTTTAGAGTTTTTCTTTTCTTTTTTGATATGTATTTTCTTCAACCTTTAGATGGTCATCATCCAGCTCAGCTCGCATTCCATGCATCGCAGTGAGCACAAACAAACATAACTCGAATTACAAATTTAAAACCGACAGATGGGTATTTGGAAGAAAGAATTACTTTATCTTGCAACTGCCAATGGTTTAATATGCAGATTACTGAGTATTTGGGGGGGGGTGTGGATTGGGGACAAAAATGCTGTTTATATGATGAAATCTGTCCTACATGGATATCATAATTAGAATATTAAAATTTGAAGAAAGGTATAAGAATTATATTTTATAGATGTTTGTATGCATTTAAATTATTATTATTAATTGAAAACTTTAAATGAGTATTTCTCATTTTTATGACTGTCCTCTGTCTGCAGATAATTTGCATTAGAAATATTTTTCATTTGGTAATTAAATACTAAAAAATTTTAACAAAATATCAAATTTTTTAAATATCATAAAAATGTTAAATAAAAATTTGAAGCACATAAATGTTTGAATGAGGGTCAAGTCCAGAATTCCGTTTTAAAGAAATAGTTCATAAGAAATAGAAATCAATATTTCATTAATGAAAGATTTTTTTCTCTTAAAAATTCAAAATATGTAATGAAAGTTTTTAAAAAGAAAAATACTGAGTTGTTTGCCTTCATAAAGTTATATTAAATGCTCTAGTTATTAGGTGATTTTTTAAAGTTTGTATTATTATTAAAGGGGAAAACACTATGAAGGGAACTGTTAGCATTTTCTTTATGTGAATTCATATCATGGCGAAAGGGAATTTGCTGCTACCTCACTTGTGGGAAATATTTATTGATAGTCTCATTTCTTTGTTAGCTGAAAAGTGAAGCCAAATTGAGTTTTAAACCTCCATATTGTATTAATTTATGATGGTATATCTTTTCTGCTGTTTGGCATTCCTGTTTTGAATAACTCATTTTCATATGTTTTTAAATCTTGAATTTTTAAGATTAATGTTTAAACTAATAGGCCTGTCATTATTGTTAAGTATGAAACAACTTAGGTCTTAGTGAAATCTGAATTACAGTATGTGATTGCAGTTTCTTACTTTTTTTAATATATATTTTTCATAGTAAAACTTTTTTTTTTTTTTTGAATTGTTAGACTTAAATCTAAAGTTTTCAGAGTGCACTTTCTCCGCCTGCCATAATATTTCTGTGAATGAGACTTTAGTCTAATTTGTAAAGCTGATTAGAATCATTTTAAAATATGGCTAAATTTTTCCAGTGTCCCTAAAATGTGATGCAATAAAAATTTCTTGGTTTTAAGAAATTGGGCCTCAGGTTTGAGGAGACCAGATTAATAGTTTTTGGGGGGGAACAAGATTACATTCAGATTTGTCTAGTTGTATTCCAAAAGTAAGATTACTGTTAAAAGTCACTCCCTGATTTTGATGAATTTAGGTGTTAAAAAGAAATCTACTTTACCAGCTGAAGAAAGACAGATCATTTAAGCAGACCTGAATTCGGAAGAAATCACTAAGGGTTATAATGAGTTATTCTGAAATCTAGGCTGCACCATTACAGAAACATCAACAACGAAAAATTAGATATCCAAATTTGATCTTCGATGTGGAAAATTGCTTTCTGTAATACTATTGCTGATTAATTAGTTTACTTTTAACATATTTCGCAAAAAGATACAAATGCACTTTACTCATATTAAGAACTTTCCTTGTGTTCTTGTTAAATGCATGGTGTCTTAATTCATATATTTTTCTCTGCAACTATCATAGACAATGCTAGCCAGTGGACAGCAATTAATGGATGCTGGAGGTAGCCAGCACTAACCGTTAATGGATTGAAGATTTTTTACCTTCTGCAGCTTATTATCTAAATAATTATTAATATGCAATATGAATAAAATTCATATTCTGAAAAAAATGAGTGAAATTCATATTTGAAAGAACAGAGATTTGAGCATTTTAATTGTAATTTCGTAGACTTGAAAATTCGTTGCTGATCAAGCATAGTGCTCTGATTTAACAAGGATGCCATATTTAGCACTTTATCATAATGTTTGTTCCTAAGTGTAATATTTTTTTTTACTCTGATGTTAACACATTAACCTCCATTAGTATCCAAATGCACACAAAATATATTAACTTCTGTTTTGTTCGTTTGGATACTGTGGCCTGCATTCAAATTTATCTGGTTGTATTCTAAAGGTAACAAGTTCTATATATAATTGAATGAAGTAATGGCTTTTGTGTTAAATAAACTTTAGTTAACAAAATAGTATTTTTTGTCCACATACCATGATAGTGTTGACCTTATACGTCTAAATGAATACTGACTAATTATGGTTAATAAATATATTATGTTTTGCTAGCATATTACAATATTACATTATGTTAAAGAATATTTATGGTATATTAATCAAAAAATGGCCAAAATAGGGTTTTTTTTTTTAATATGTATAAACTGCTGGCCATTCAAAATGTGACACCACGACGGAAGCATCCAAACATCATGAAACTTACACACTATCGCAATAGAATATGTAGATGACTGTGATTTCGGTGTACAATTTCATGGACGCTGCTTGCAATCCATATATAAAAGAAGGAAAGATTGTCATTTTGAATAATGGGAATTGTTCTTGTTCTCTTGTGAGATTTGTTTTGTTTGTGTGCATACACATCAACCTTCACTATGCTTTGTAGAAAAACATGAGCATCATTTGAGCCTTTAAGTTTGACCAAAGCAAAATCATTGTATACAGAGATTGCTGATTATAATTCCAGTAAATCGTTCATCATATCAAACATAGCCAAATGACAATCATGCGAATATAATCAGTGGATGCAGGTGGGAACAGCTGATGGACAAGAGCAGTTGCAACTGCCTCATTAATTCACTCCTCGAGAAAGGCATTAACTTTAAACCACAGGCAATTACGTTTGCAATAGTGCACTGAACGGCAGAGATGGACATCCAGATGGCATGCATGACTTTATGTTTTCGGACGAATCGTACTTCTGTCTGCAGTACCAGAATGGTCATATTAGGAAGTGAAGACATCATGGAATCAGACTGCTCGATTATTGTGTTATGCATTGTCATACTCGTCCTGCACTTGGTCTTATAGTGTGGGGTGGTATTGGGCTCCCCTTCACCCACATAGTATGCATTATTGGTACATTTACCAACCAAAGCTATATCTCTGAGGTTTTGCAGCCTGTCCTCTTCCTTCCTGTTCTACAAATCTGTCGCCAATCGAACATATTTGGTCAATTATTCGAAAATACCATGCCCATTATTGACAGATGTGGGCATGGTATTTTCGAATTTATTTTTTAACTAGTAAATTACTCGAAATTTATTGACACTCATTACATCAATTTTCTTGTTTTCCTCACCTCATAGAAGACTGTATTCAGATCAGTTAACATTGATACTATGTGTAATCTCTGAAATAAATTTGACTCTTGTCCTTCTTTGTGTTGTATATTGGATGGCCAGCACTGTATATATTTAATACAGTATTTAAATACAATATATTTAAATGTTCGAGTAAATTCATTGGCTTTAATTAAGATCAAAATACAAGTTTTGAATGATTTGTCTAAATTTTTTTTTTTTTTCATACACTTTGTAAAAATGCAATTTTCTGCTGGTATGGGATTTTATTTCAAAGAAACATTTTGAAAGTTTATAAATATTTAAATACCCAGGCATTGAGAACTGCATATTAGAGTGAAAGAAGTTTTAGTGTAGTTAAAGTATTTGTTTGCCAATTAATACAAGAAGCTTAATTTAATCATTTCTTTTGCAGTGCTAAATTTGGCAAAAAAGTCATGTATGTAAATTATTTGCATGAGTTAAAACAGCATTTACATTTTGATCAACTTGCCATTCCAAAGCCAGTTTTAGAGTAAGTGCATTTTGTGTTATTTTTATCAGATTTTGAAAAATTTTACAGATATTTCAGGTTTGAAGTAATTTTGATGAAAATAATGTAATTATATTTTAAAAGCTAATTTGTATCTATGTTTTTCAATTTTTTTTTTTTTTTTTTTTTAAAGATCCATTGTAAAAGACAAGTTTTTATTTTAACTTAAAAATAAATAGCTATTATAATGAAAAATTATTTATTTATTTCTTTCAATATATTAAATTTATTTTTTACATTTGTTATATCACATTAGTCTGTAATGCTGAAGGCATTGTCATTATTTCAAAGCTGACTGAAATTTTAAAAAAAATAGTTTATGGATTTAATTTTAGTTAAGTTTTTTTAATTATTATTATTTATTATTATTATTATTATAGTTTTGATTTTTTAGTGGTCTTATACCTGTTTTGTAACATTCCAAAATTTTCCTGTTTTATAAATGTACCTTATAAATTTAATTCAAGATAATTTTTTGATATTGGAAACATTCAATAGTACATTCTTTTCAAAATTTTTCCTCATTAACATGGTGTATGTTATGCTACCAGGTATTTGTCTTCTCTAAAACCTGGCAAATAGCCTGTTCTCATGTTACTGTTCGGTGTTCCAATACTACTTTTATTTTCTTAATTAGAACTGTAATCACTTAACAATTTGAATCACTTAAAAGCATTCACTTAGCCTTTGGAAATATATCTGTAACTGGTTTGCTACCAGTGCAGATTATAATTGTAGTGTAATAATGAAAATAAAGTTTCTAGTTAAAAAATAAAAATTGACTAGGCTAGTACCCAACTAGGACTAGCCATAGCTGAGTCCTTTATTAAGGTTAAAGGGCATATCACGCATTCCTCCGTTTTGGATGAAAGCCTTTTTCAAGCAATTTTTCTACTGGCTTTAGCCTCGGAAGAAAAGCACATTTTTTTCCTGGCTTACAACAAAAAGTTGTGACTTTTACATTAATCAACATTGAAATAAAGAACGTGAATGAGAGTTCTTTGTTGGTCTGTGTGTTTGAGATGTTAAATCAGTTTCCGTTGTACATGGTAATGGCAGAGTATCCATGGTGATTGGCTGTTTTATATCATGTGACAAAGCAGAAGAAATGTGCTAAACAGTTATTCTTGCAAAATGCTTTGAAAGTATGATGTGAACATATAGTTAAGGTTTATTTAAGATAAAATTCGAACTGTAATTTTTAATACCTTCTTAAGTCTCCTTTTAAGTTTGGTTATTTCCAGTTTCTCCTATAAAAAGAGTAATTTAAAATCTTTTTGAAATACATCATTTTAAAATGAATTCCTGACGTATGACTTTTATATAACACTAATGCCATACATATTTTATATCATGGCAAAAGTAAAATTAAGTTTTCTATCCAATGAAATAAAGTTATATTTTCATATTAAAATTAACAAACCAATAGAAACAAAGGAGAATATAACGTAAAATATTTAAATTAGTAATTCAATGCCTCGGCTAATTTTAGGCATAGAGAAAAAAATATTTTTTACCAGGAAAAAGAAATATTATTGTTGTATGATTTTACCTCCATTTAACAAAGTAAGAATCTAAAAGTAATATTACAGCTTTTTTGTATTTTTTATAACTAAGTATTTTTATTGAAATTTAATATGCTTTTCAAGAATACTTTTTAACATCAATTTCATTCAGCAGTGCAATATTTAAGCGTTTATCGAAATTAATGAGTATTTTTCCCCCTCTACTTGCTTATATTTTTGCCTGTTTAGTTTTAATTTTAGCTTAATCGATATTTACAATTAAATTTTAGCAGCATTTTATGCAGGATATGTTTACATAATTTTCCAATTTAATTAGTTTATATATAGATATAGTACAGTTTACCAATTCATTATGTTGTCTTATAACTTTCTTTAAGAGGTAGTAACTGCAATTACAGGTAGTGATTCTATACTAATAAGAACTTTCATTGTCAGGAATGACAGTGCAGAATGTTTGAGGCACACATGTATCATAATGAAACTAGAGAAATTTAATAGAAGTTCACTCCTTTAGGTCATTTGAATGCACAGTGTCAAATTAAGATTCTATTGACAGGAAAAATCTGTCTACTAAAATTCCAAGGAACTCTAATCTGAAACATCAGGAATCAACAATGTAAGAATGGGATTCCTGTTGGAGTGTATTTAGCAGTTACATAAGAACTAAAGTCAGATCTTAAGTAGGCATAGGTGTATGACATCTGTATCAAGGTATAGGTGTATGACATCTATGCACCTTGTAACAAGAAGATAGGCACATTCCAGTAGATATTGATATTCATATGAAGAATTAAAAATATGATTCACAAGTTAACAGATCTTACAAAATTACAAACGTTTTGCTAGATAGTTAGAGGAGTAACTGAACTTGATCATACTTGTCCAGTTTATCAATACTTGGGATTATCTTGTTAGAAATTGTCATCATCATCCAGTCTGTTTCTATATTTATTTTCTAAAGCGCTTTGAAAGGTCTTACTCTGTCTTCCCAAAAATTCTACCATACAACCTCCAAAGCATGCACATACCATAAGTTAAGAACCACTGGTTTAAAGGAATGTAAAATACAAAGCTAAGAAAACTGAATTTGGAATTAGAAAGTGTCTGATTTAACATAGCTTTATATACAGATGGCAATCAAAAAAGTTCTTGACTTACGTTTTACTTATTATATTTGTGGAGTTTAGTAATATATAAACATTGTGTTGTAAAATTTGTGAAATCAGTATTTTTAAAAATTTAAGAAAGTGTATTGAATAGAAAAAAGAAATACATTTTGAAAAAATAATTGAAAGTTTATTTTTCTTTCTACATTGATTTTTTTTTTTTTTTTTTTTTTTTTTTTTTTTTACTTTTTCAGGCATGATAAAAAACTTGTTGCTATTGCAAAAAATCCAAAACTGACATCTTCCAGTTCTTTTCATACAAACTTACCATCTTTTGAAACTCAGCAATTTAGAGTTCCAATTTCATAGTAAGTACTTTTTTTTTTCTTTACATCTCAGTGCTGTTTGATTCTTTAAATTTTTTCAAACATTTGGAAAAGGAGGATGTTTGTTGTGTTTTTGTCTTGCAATTATAAATTCTTTCACATATTTTCAAAATTCAATTAAAAACTTTGTTAAAGTTATAAGAAAAGTTTCCAGTAGAAAGATAGCACACAAAAAAATTTTCCCCGTATAAATATGCATTCATCTAGGCATCTTCTATGGTTCAGAGGTTATCTAAGTTATAGTCTCTTTCATGAGTGGCATTTTTTATTCTGCTATGCAACATTACAACATTTGAACATTGGTTAATATAATTTATCTTTTATGTTACCCCCCAGAAGAAAAAATCTAAAAGGACTTTCTGGTTTTCCTAATGAAGATTAAGTAGAGCATTCTTTTGACCTTCTGCCAATTAAGTTATAAAGTGCCATAAAGGTTTCATTTGTTTTATCTACTTGATATCTGATTATTTTTCAATTTATCAATAGAAATATTTTAAAAAATATACTTTGCCATTTGCACAACATGTTGGCTATATGTATTAAATATGCACATATAAAAAAGATTAAAAATTGGGTACAATTTTAATTATCAAAATTTAAGTTATAATATTTTAATTCTAAAATTTAGTCTGGTATTTTTTGGGCCTGTTTAAGAGAGATCAATTTTGTTATGTCTGGTCATATTTCACTTAACTTTAAGCGTAAATTAGAATTCACTTTTAATTTTGTTCTGTAAATTTTTTTGGGAGAGGGGGAGAAAGAAAACTCTTGTTCACACAAATAGGTTGTGCAAAAAGGGAATTGTAGTTGACTGCCGTAGTCGTGCTGAGGGAGATAAGAGTCATTGTATTATACCGTAGTGTGGGGTTCATTTGCTTCACACTTGTTACTGTCCACGCATAGATGACACCCTTTTATTGTTTGTTTAACAATAAACTTTAATAAGTAAGCAACTCTTGATTATTATACATTATAGGTACAAGCATGAATAGGTAAGTCTGGCATTGTCTCTGCCGGATGAGAAAAAACAATCTCTGCATGACGAAAAAATGGCGATCTCCCCGCTCATCGCCAAAAAAAATGGACCGTCCCGTCCGACAACCAGGGTGCAAAGTCCCTTCCCCCCTCGTCTTCGTTCCTCTTCCTTTTCCTTGTTTGTATTCTTTCATTCCAACAAACCACCTGCTCCGTCGGACTAATTATTCCGCTGGCTAGGCTTTTCTTTCTCCTTCTCGGGTTATGGGCATTACACGCCCCGACCGAGATGAAGACTTGCCTCTCAAGGCTAATTTTCACAACAGGTTCAACAGAACCATTCAGCGTTCATTAGAAATAATGTAGAGTTCATCAGATATAAAACACAGCGTTCATCATAAACAATTCCGAATTTGTCAGAATCAGAGTTCATAAGCAATTCCGAATTTGTCAGAATCAGAGTTCACAGGTTTATTAGTTGACACACTTGATTTCATACAAAATTTCAAAATTCCTGATGGCTGACATGGATACTGAAATTCCCCTTACCCGACCAGGTGCAGGGGGTACTTAGAAACAAAATCTGAACAGGATGCAAAAAGTCTTCTTACCAGTCTTTTTTTTTTTCCGCTCAACAAATAACAATATTACATATTACACTAAACATAACTGCATAAATACATTCTACATTAGACAAACATTTTTATTTACTAACAACATTTAACAAATTATATCTAAAGGTATTTTAAGGTTAAAAATTAAGAACCTCTGAATATCTGTGGTTCCCCCTTTTTTTTTAAAAAAAAATATTACCCTTATTCATATCAATCATGACAACGCGTCTGTGGCCTGATGTTGTACTCCTGGACGATAAGTGATTTTTAAATTCCATTTTTGCAAAGAGAGAGCCCAATGCGTTAATTTTGGACTCCTAGGTGTAATTTCGGTGAGACATTTCAAAGGATTATGGTCCGTAGTGATTTCCACTGTTCCTCCAAAAATCCACTTCTCAAATTTCTTGAGCCTGAATACACCCGCCCAGGCCTCCTTTTATATGCCTGCCTAATTCTTTCAGAAAATGTTTGGGATGCAAAAGCTATTGGTTTAAAATGCCCTTGTGCATCTCTCTGAGTTAGACAACAACCGACGGCCGACATCTGATGCATCAGAATGCACCTGAAATGGTAAATTAAAGTCAGGCGTGGTCAGAGACGTCACCTGACACAGCATATCTTTCAACTTCTGGAAAGCCGCGTCTTCAACTTGACCCCCACCGTACATTATTTCGGCGCATTCTTTTCGTCAAATCCGTCAAAGGTCCAGCTATCTCGGCTAGTTCGGGATATATGTGCGATAAAATCCCATGAGACCCAATACCGAACGGACTCCCTTTTTATTCGTGGGCCTTTCTAGCACTTTAATTGCTGCAATCTTACTAGGATCTGGGCCGTGTTTGCCGTTTCCTCCTATCTTATGTCCTAGGTAATCTATTTCCTTAGCTGCAAAATCACACTTACTGAGCCTGACAGAAAATTTTAACTGTTCCAGTATCTTAAGGATCGTTTCTAGATGCTTCAGGTGTTCTTCAAACGTGTTTGAAAAAATTATAATATCGTCTATATATGCTTGGGCGAAATCGCTGTACCGGAAAAGAACCTTATTCATTTCTCTTTGAAAGGTACCTGACGCTCCTGCCAAACCAAACGGCATGACGTTCCACTGAAACGTCCCGTTGTGAGTTGAAAACGCTGTCAGTGGTTTACTTGATTCCTCCATTCCGATTTGCCAGTATCCTCTGCGCATATCTAAACTTGATAGCCATTTTGAATGCCCAGCCACATATATTAATTCATGCATATCCTTCGGCACTTTAGTGATCGAATTCAAATGCCCTGAAATCAACGCACATCCTGATTGTCGCGTCTTTCTTGACCACACACACAACCGGGATGGGCTATGTCCGCTTCCGACGGTTCAATGAGACCCAGCTCTAGAAGTTCCTTGACTTGTTTGTCCACCTCCTTGCGATATGCCATTGGAATGCCATAACAATGAGGTTTTTTTCCTGTCTGCTCCAGGCATAATATCAATCTTATGTTGTCCTACTCTAGCAGGTTGAACATGTCTCAAAAATAAGTTCTTGTACTTTCCCAACAGTAGTTTTAGATCATTAATCTGCTTGTTGTTAAGATTAGTGGTACTTAGATTATTTAACATACTTTCAAAACTACTATCCTGGTCTAAAGTAGAGGGAATATTGTCTACCTCCCCGAACTCTTCCCCGTCAAACATTACATTGATTGCATTTGACCGCACAATGAATTTCCTTATTTTATTTTGATGTACATGCTTAATGCTCCCGTCTGCCAGTTCTACTAAAAAAGAGTGTGGGTTTTTCCTTTCCTTTATCACTGCAGGACCCTGCCAACGAGCATATAACCTGTTGCTTGAATCAGGTATGAGGACTACAACCCTATCTCCTATTTCAAAAGTTTTACTCGAAGAGCGCAAATTATAATACTGCGCCATCCTACCTTGTTGGATTTCACTCGTAAGATCAGCTTGCTCAGCAGCACGTTTCAACCGCTCCTTCAAATCTTGCAAATATTTATGAATTGGCTTCAGATCGAATTTTAATTCGTCATGCTCCCCTAACCATGTAGATTTTAAAATAGATAACGGTCCTTGTGGGGGGTCTACCATACAATAGTTGGAAAGGTGATACCCCTGTAGTACTGTTAGGTATTTCCCTGTATGCCCATAATGCGTAAGGTATTTGGACATGCCAAGCTCGACCTTCCTCTCTAATAATATGATGCAACATACGTTTCAAAGTCTGATTAAACCTTTCGACTAAACCATTTGACTGAGGGTACATGGGTGTCGAAAATCTCGGACTGGATCCTAATCTTTTCTCAAATTCCCGTGTTAAGTCTGCGTTAAAATTGGTACCATTATCTGACGCAATCACATTAGGAATTCCGGTCCTGGAGAAAATCTGCAGCAACGCGTCGCAGGTAGTTTTTGCCGTCAGACTGGTTAATGGCACTGCCTCGGCCCATCTAGTATGCTGGTCCACCAAGCACAAAATATATTTATGCCCCTTCGAACTAGGAGGATCTATAGGTCCGATTAAATCTACATTGACAACCTGAAAAGGTAACCCTGGTCTTGCTACTGGAGTAATTGGCGCTCTGTCCTTCACTTTCACTGGCTTTGTTAATTGACAACTTTCACATGATTCGCAAAATTCCTGGACATCTCTTTTCACGTTTTCCCAATAAAAGGAATAACGAATCCTCTCTAATGTTTTTTTAATTCCCATGTGTCCTCCAAACACTGATGCATGCGCGAGCTCTAGAATTTCATTCCTTCTGCATTTAGGAACAACTAATTGCTCTGCACTCTGTCCCAAAATCTTGTCCCGATGAAAAAGAAAACCGTCCCTCACAAAATAATTTCCTTTATCCGTTTTCGCTCTTTCCCACATCTTAGATAAGTCAGTGCATTCTTTTTTTGCTGCTGACGAAACTCCGCTGTCTGAGATAAATTAGTTGTTTTTCTCCACTAAGGGCGCTCCGACATCTGGGATAGCAGCAGCTACGTGGCTTTGAATGTCCGTTTCTAACTTACCCTGAGGTGTTTCTGCCTCTCCCACGTTCGAGGAATCCTTCGATTCGTAGAACAAACCACTGCTACTTCCTTCTCCGTTGAACTGTCGATCTTTACAAGTGTTTTCGCGTCCCGTAACATATATAACACCTGTGGGGGTAATAAAACATCTTCAACTAAAGATTTCGCCACCGCGCAAAGTATCTCCTGATGCACATTTGTACCCTTTCCATTAATTAGTGCTAAAGGTAATTTTACTAACTCACACCTTCTCGGCGGTCCAAAAATCCCCTTCAAATAAATTGCCGATCCGCTTCCAGATCTAAAATTTGGAATTATACTTTCCTTTACAACCGTTATCTCACTGCCAGAATCGATTAATCCGTTACTTATCC